ATCATGGCCAGCTAATTTTTTTAAAATTTATTGTAGAGATGAGGTCTTGCCAAGTTGCCCAGGATGGTCTTGAACCCCTGGGCTCAGGCAATCCTCTCACCTCTGCCTCGCAAAGTGCTGGGATTATAGGCGTGAGCCAGTGTCCAGCCAGCATTTTTTTTTTTTTTGAGTCAGAGTCTCACTGTCGCCCAGCTGGAGTGCAGTGGCACTCTCACGACCACCACAGCCTTTCATGACCATTTTTTATTTATTGAGAACATTTTCCTATGTCAAGTTATGTTTTTCCTCTGTAGGAATTTCAGTGGCTATACTTATGAAATTGTAGCGTAAGCCCTGGTATGGTGGCTCATGCCTATAATCTCAGCACTTTGGGGGGCCAAGACAAGTGGATTGCCTGAGACTGTGGTTTCGAGACCAGCTTGGGCAACTTGGCAAGACCTCGTCTCTACAATAAAATTTTTAAAAATGAGCCAGGTGTGGTAGTGCACGCCTATAGTTCCAGCTACTTGGAAGGTTGAGGTTGAAGGGGGGCCTGAGCCCAGTAGGTCGAGGCTGCGGTGGCCTTGAGCAAGTCACTGCACTCCAGCAGCCTGGGCAACGGAGTAAGACTCCAACTCAAAAAAATAAATCCTTCCCTTTTTTTTCAATGACTACGTGTTTCTTTTATAACTCTAAAAACATTGTTGTAGGCCGGGCTTGGTGGCTCACCCTGTAATCCCAGCACTTTGGGACGCCGAGGCGAGTGGATTGCCTTAGTCCGCGGGTTCAAGACCAGGCTGGGCAACTTGGTGAGACCTCGTTTCTAAAATAAATCAAAAAATTTGTTGGGCATGGTAGCGCACGCCTGTAGTTCCGGCTACTTGGAAGGCTGAGGTGGAAGGATCGCTGCAGTACAGCAGGTTGAGGTGTGGTGACTGGGAGCATGCCACTGCACTTCAGACTGGGCAACAACAACAACAAGAAACAAAAAACAAAACATTGTTGTAGAAGTAGGTTCATGGGGGGATGGGATTAACAGTAACAAATATCTGTCTGGGGAAGGGGAAACACCTCTTATCAACAGGGTGCCTGAATGAAACGTAATTGTACACCTAACCCTTAACTGTACCCCACAAAACCATAATAAAAATTATTGATTTAATAAAAAAAAAAAGTAGATTCATCTTGGTTCATCTCCTGGTGAAAATGGGCTGTCCCCCTGCCTAGGTTTATGGTAAAAACCTAGACTCTTTTGTGTACACAGATAAAATAATGTTAAATTTTTCATTTAAATTGATTCTCAACCATTTATTTTTGAGTCAGGTTCTCACTCTGTCACCCAGGCTGGAGTGCAGTGACACAATCACAGCTGACCGCAGCATTGATCTCCGGGCTTAGGAGATCCTTCTGCCTCAACCTCCAGTGTAGCTAGGACTGCAGGTGCATTTTTTAATTTTTTTGCAGAGACAACGTCTCGCTATGTTGCTCAGGCTGGTCTTGAACACCTGGGCTCAAGCAATCCTCCCCCCTCAGCCTCCCAAAGTGTTGGCATTACAGACGTGAGCCACCACGCCCAGCAATTTTAAATTATGTAATTGAAGTATAACAACATAACAAAAAAGTTACATACGATAGCCCACTGAAATTCCACAAACTAACTGGACACAGCTTTGCAGCTAGCTGCAAGAACATTTCCGGTACCCTCATCTACACCCTACGTCCCCGCAAGGGGAAGCACTGTCTTGACTTCTATCACTTACAACTTAGTTTCGCCTCCTTTTAAAACTTGATATAAGTGAAATTATACAGTATGTACTCTGGCTTCAATGGTTTGTGGAATTCATTTAGTCATCCCAGATACCATTCACTGTCACTGCTGTATAGAATTTCATTGTGTGAATCTACCATAATTCACTATCCATCCAACTGTTGATGAGCATTTGGGTAGTTTTCAGCTTCAGGCTGTGACGCATAAAGCTGTTAGCCACAACCTCTTGGTGAACATATGTATGCATTCGTTAGATATAAACCTAAAAATAGGATTGCTGGGTGACAACAAATTTTTAAAAATTCTCCTGGTACAGAATTTTGTTTTTTCTGATCAACACTGTCCTCAGCCCATCAAGTAGTTTGCATGATGTATAATGTATACATATGCCCTTATCAACGTGTTCATTTTAATCTTCTGTCAGTTTGGCATATGTCCTGCAAAGACAGCAACTTTCTTCCCTTGGGCTTTTGCACGGTGTTGAGGAAGGGGTGCAGTAGTCTTCAAATGTTATTAACAAGTAATTCTGGATGGTAAAATCAACTAGGTCAATCTAAACTTGATATTTTTCATTAAAATTTTCCTATTGTCCTTCAACTTGTTTTTGTGAAATACTGTTCTTCTCTCTGGTTAGAGAACAAAACAGGTGACTCCCCAGAGCTCTTGCACCTGCTGCACCTCCCAGGGGGACAGATACCCAGGTTGAGTACTATAGATGCAGCAAAATCGCACTCCCACCAGAAGCATTCCGGGGTTGGGAACTCTCTTAGGAACAGGAGAGACTGACATTATTTGTCTCCCAATCTGCAGTCAACCAAAAGATTTTAATAAGTGCATGAAAACATGAACATATTTGTTTCAACAGATTGTGACTTCTCTGAAGGTAAGGACAAGCTCATACGCATCTCTGGATTCCAGAACCCAGCACAGTGCTAGCATATCATAGCGGCCTAATAAATGTCAAAATGCATACTCTCTGTTTGAAATGAATGGAAAGAATCTACTGGATAGTCGGTCAAAAGTACAACCAATTACTGACAAATAAAATCTTTCTCTGTAGAATTGACTGACAGCTTGTATGTCCACCATATGGCTAAACAAACCCCATGCTACGTAGTAAACCCCATTCTACAGTAGTAAACAGGAGGTAAGTCACCCTGACATGGAAAACACTGTATAATTAATTTTAAAAAACCACAAATTAAAAACATTATAATTTTATAACATTTTTTATGGTTTAAAAATATGAAAGCTACATGTTTCCAGAGAGACATATATGTGTTAAATGAAAAGGGAAAGGACTGGAAGGTTATATACCACTCTGATATCAGCAGTTACTTTCAGAGGAGAGTTGGAGGTTTTGGTTGGTGTCAAGGAGCTTAATCTAGAATAAAATTTTTTCCAAGATTACATTTGTGTAATTAAATGGTGTTATAATTTTCAGCAAATAGCTGCGTATATCTCTACTACCTGAATATGTAACTATTCTTAAGAACAATAGACTCTCCCTGGTACTGCCTGTAGGTTTCTCTTCTAAGCACAGACACCCAACTACTCTCTCCCCCTTGGCATCATGAAAAATGTAGAGAAAGGAACAGATAAGAGTTCCTTAAACAAGCTCGGGTTTGACACGCTCTAGCACTGACAGCCAGGGCTTTCAAGAGGGCCTTCCTAGCCGGGCTCCGTGGCTCAGCCAGTAATCCCGCGCCTTTGGGAGGCTGAGGTGAGTGGATTGCCTGAACCCGCGGGTTCGAGACCCGCCTGGGCAGGCGAGACCTCATCTCTACAATAAATAATAATATAAAAAAAATTAGCCGGGCGTGGTAGCGTGCGCCTGTAGTTCCAGCTACTTGGAAGGCTGAGGCGGAAGGATCGCCGGAGCCCAGCAGGTCGAGGCTGCAGTGGCCGGGAGCGTGCCACTGCACTCCAGTCTGGGCGAGAGTGAGACTCCAGCTCAAAAAAAAAAAAAAAGAAGAAGAAAAAGAAAAATGAGCTCTCCCAGGACTACTTGCACTTCTATGGGGCTGTAAAGTAATGGAGAAGGAAATGAAGTGTTGACATCATTCTATGACAGAAGCAGTTAAAGAGAAGAGAGAGTGTACAAGTTTTAATGGAATCGAAATAGGAGACGGTGCACATATGCTCAACTAATTACAGCATCACAAATAAAAATGTTAGTTTGGAATATTCTTTCTCATACAAATGCATGGGGCTTGGAGTAAGGTAGCCCAGGCCAAATTCCGCCACTAATACACTGGTTGTCTCTGACCCATCAGCGAACATCTTTTTCCGGGGCTTCAGCTTCCTCAATGAAACAGAGGGCAGTAGGAGCGGCCCAAGCCCAAAGCGTGCCATTCTCTGACGTCTATCCAAGGCGCAGGCAGTTCAATACCAACCGGCAAGCAAGCGCCTCTTCCGCGTGGCTGCGGAGGGGATGCCCGTCATAGCCACTCCCCCGGCCGGGGCTCTCCAGGTGACCGGAAGAAGCAGCCGGAGTGGGGACTGACCGTGCGCCCTACTTTCTCCAGAGGGCGATCACTCCCGAGCCCCGGCCGTGATGCACCCAGCGCCGAGGCCAGTACAGGTCCCGCAGGCGCCCAGTGCGGGCGCCGGGAGGGAGCGGAGAGCGCTGGCCTGTGACGTGGGCCAATCCCGGGCCAGCGCCGGCGGTTTCTCCCCAACTGATGGCCTGGCCCCTC